GTTAGTGTAAGGAAGTGGTTAAAATATATTATATATGGGCATGTATAAGATCCAACATAACATTTTCCCAATAACTCGAGTTATTGGAACTAACTGGTTTATGACATGGTATCAGAGCCTGGTTTGTCTGTGAGATCACGTGTTCAAGTCCTCACGACCCCCAATATTAACTGTTGTCTTTCAAGAACATGGTGTGCAAACTTCAAGCCCATGAGTCGGCTTTCGTTTGAGGAGGTGTGTAAGCAAGTGGTTAAATACCCATACATGAGCCTGTATAAGATCCAACATAAGCTTTTTCCAACAACTCGAGTTATTGGGACTAACCGGTTACAGTACTCTGACTATATATTGAGTCACACTCACACTCAACGTCCATTAATAGTTATCTCCACTGAAGGAAAGGTTATTGATGTAGATGATGCCATGTTTGTGTGAGGGGGGGGGGGGGGGGGGGGGGGGGGGGGCAGTAGGCTAGTAGGGGAATATGGGCCTGAGTTTGATGAGAAAGTGGGACGGTGGGGACTGACCGGACCAGACCAGACCAGACCGGCGACAAAGCTGCATGGGCTCGAACCCTCGCTTGCCCCCTGCACTACTCTCTTCTTTGGGCCCATTGCATGTCAACCCCATGTGCTTTTCATGCTCATCCTGCCCTGCCGCCATAGCAACGCCAAATAGCCATATTGCACTCTTCGACCCAGGGAAGGGATATCTACTAATATATATGATTAGGCATACAGAAGGCAAAGAGATCGCTTGCGTACGTTATGGCTCATGTCTTGTTGGGATGTTTAAGAAACAAGAACAAGAAAACTAAGATTTTAAATCGAATAGAACCTTTTGTTTGATGGATCATCCTAATGACCTTTCGTTTAATGGGTCGTTTGGCTTGCTAGATTTTGGTCATGAATTTGATGTCTAGAATCTCAAGTTTGATGGATTTAACCCAAATCTGTTGTTTGTTGATGAGTATCAAATGCGTGGGTTCACGATTTTTTTCTTTATTTTGGATCCGAATCTGTGAACCCCTACACGCTTTTAAATCCCACATATTGAGTTGGGATTTGTAAATCGCTAATGGCTAATGATATATGCAATAAATTCATTATAAATACTAGATTGTACTCCGGTCTGTTGGCCGATTGCAATATGATGACATTAACTAACAAAGCTCCAAAGGTTAAATTTCAGTAATCTTTCACTTCTCTCATATTCATGCCAGGATTATATGTCAATGTCATGCGAATTAACATATAACTATATCAATTTTGACCAAATAGCAAGCTAGTTTCTTAGTTTTTATCATTAAGAAATTCAAATTATTTAATTCCTAGAAAAGAGAAAATGTGCATCCATCATTAAATTGCCAACATCAGCGGCAGATCCAGGACACAGTATAGCACTAGGCCGCATTAGAAATTAGATGCTGTAAAAAAATCACAGTTTTTTTTACAATATCAATTGTACACGTCGATCTTTTAAATTTTAATATAGTGAATTCATCAATAATGGAGTTTACATTCACATTAATAGCATACTCTCTTTAAGATAAAATAGTTAACCAATTAGCAAGAAATTCATCGCTCATTTTGTTGCGCAAATGTCAACACAATCGACTAATTAATATATATTGTGTATCAATTCTTATTTTCAACAACTGCTCTAGTAATTTCTTAAGGGAATATTTACGTTTTAGAATTTTAGGTTTCATTGTTTGCTTTTCTTTATACGAGAATCATTGGAGCTAGAATTTTCAGGCTAAATTTGGAGTTGTGATTTGAATATGTTCATCTTACCCATTTTCCTAATTACACACAATTTTATTATAAAATAACACTCATCCAAATGGCTAAAATCGATAAACTCATAAGGACTATACTAGTTCCCGATCCAGGGGAGGGCTGGGTCGTGGCCCGGGGTGGCCACCCCCAGGATCCGCCACTGGCCAACATTGTAGGTGTAACAAAATAATTGGTATCACCTCTTAACCATCAACAATCTTCATCATCAACTTCACTATATTCATCATTGATAAGTACTTCCCAACAAAAGAATTTCTCTTATTATAGTTGCAACAGATGTTGGAAATTCATTTTTTTCCATCAATAATTATGTTCGATATTGTTAATTTGGTTATGAAATTTGTGAAGTAATCACTCAAATTAATATGGAAATTCAACTTCATTTTTGCTTCTTATCTTTTTGTTTTTTTGTAAACACTTCATTCCTTCACTATGACATGAGGGAGAGGAGGTATCCTTCTTCCACTATTTGTTAATAACTTTTCAAACAGGGAGCATCCCCGCTTGGTGATCGGTCCGTTAGTTCACGCAAATCCGAAAAAGTTATCACGGACGAGAGTAATTCTAAGAAATCCCAACTTCTTAACAATCCAATACAACAATTTCATATTTGGTAGCATTCGCAACTCGAGTTGGATCGTAAATATGAAAAATGTAGTAATTGCTTGGGTAGTATTCTCAATTAAAGTTGGATCTTAATATAAAAAATGCTAATAATTGAGATTCATTATTTAGAAGAGCAATATAAGCTTTAGTGAGGATGATTCCCGAATTGACTATAGGAGCTTGATCTCATTTGTTATAAAAAAGATAAAATAATTTTAGATGCATAGTATTAATAGCCTTAGTAAGAATTTATTAAATTGAGCAACAATTATGCTTCATAAATTTATTTTCACAACACATTTCTTCCACTCGAATTGAAACTTAGAACTTTAATAAAATCAAGTGATTTTAAAATCAAAATTTATAAATATAAGCTAGTTTGCCACGTGTTAGAATATCCATAGATGAGTTGAGGGAACGGCTACGGTGATAATTGTACAATAGTTAGCACCGTCCTAACCAAGGGAAAAACTACTACTAGTTTGAATTAGTAGTGATTTAGCTTAGTTGTTGTATTGATTTTATAATAATCCGTAGTGATTTCGTTATTTTTAGTAGCGTTTTTTGCTAGTTATCACGGTGCTAACCCCTATAAGGGTTAGCACCTAATCCCATCCCATGAGTTGAACTTCATAACCAATTTTCTTAAACGGTCATTGTTCGTTGACTGAGTAACTAAGTGTAAAAATATTTATTCACTTATTACAATATGAAAACCCTAGAGGCTCAAACTTGCTAATAAATGTCAATTTTGAATTTTCATGCAATTATCATTTTGTTTAACAGTTATCATTCTTTGAGAAGAAAGCAATGATATTAGAAATTAAATTTTAGACCAAATTCTTTTAAAATCGAGGTAAACATATAAGTTTATTTCAGAGTGAAAATGATTATATTCTTGAATTGTTAAATCGAAAAACTGTATGGAACTTCATTTTTTATACAATATAATTGTATGCATATTGATTAATGTCAAGATATTAGTGAAAGTATGTTTAATATCCTTATAATACATGTATATGTGTTAAATGCATTTGAAACTCTTGATAGAATTTATGTGATTTGTAATTATAAGTTCTATAATTTGGTGGGCTGTGGAAAAGGAAACGGAAAGTCCAAGTGATATGTCCAGTTGTGTGAGTTGCCCATAGTACCTCATGCACCGAAATTTGAGATGCAAAAAGACTTATAAGGATTAAGGGCTTTCTTGCTTTGCGGGGAGGTCATGAAAATGTTAATTCGGTAGCTGCTGAGCAAGAACCTCCTTTTATATATATATATATATATATATATACAAGAACCTCCTTATATATATATATATATATATGGGAAGGTAGGGCGGGCTATTTGGTTCGAGCTATTTGGTTTTATTTGCAATCGGACCGTATAATTCGGACTGTGATCGAAACCGGATAGTAAACAATACAATCCAATCTTCGGGTTTAGATTTGAGGTAAAAAAACCATTTGGTACCGGATCGAAAACCGGATAAGATAGCCTAACACCCAAAACTTAACCAACTACTCACCCTTTGAGTCCTCAGACAACTCAAATCCCCACAAACTCAATCTAAAATCAAGACCGAATTGGGACCGGACCGGGTCAAGACCGGACTGTATCCAATCCAATCTTTGGTCCTTATATTCCCGAAAAGACCGGACCGAAACCAGATCAATTCTGGTCAATTTAACCCGACCGGACCGTATAGCCACCCCTAATGGGAGGATATTATGAAACCTATCATGCAAACAATAAATTTTTTAAATTCATAATACAATAAATCCATCACAAATCCCAGTTTTTTTTTCTTCAAAAACCTCATAATTTAAAAGGAGTCCTAAATTTCACCCTAAAATGATACGAGAGGTTTTCCCATTTGTTTTGGAGACTTAACCAAACTATCACCAAAACCAAACGACCCCTAAATATTGACGAGAGGGAATTCCACTTTTTCGTTTTGGAAATATGAATCATACGATGAATTCCACTTTTCTTTTCGGAAAGTTGAAAGTCCTATGATTAGAGGTAGGACTCAATAATCCGTGACTTGGAAATGCAACTTTGTCCTTTTTATTTTGGATTTGATATGAAAAAGTCGACCTTTACAATAAAACAATCTCGTCACCCACAACCCAGGTCATGGATGTCCATATTAACATATTTCATATATTGTAGGCTGTAGCGTTCTGGGAATAAGGATATAACATATGTATACTGATATCTTTCCTTGAAACATAGTCAATCTACCATGGTTGTGGTGATATCATGTAAAATATTAATGTGTTACGACAAGTAAAAAAAGATCATTATCACTTTCCAACTACTAACATATACGTAAATAACCCTAGTTAAGCTGGTTCTTGACCAGTCCCCACCAAGCTAAAATGATTGCGTTAAGAATCAAGACCTTAGATGAATGTTGATGTTTGGAGAACCGAGAATGAGAATATGCCAAAGCGACCAGGAGGCAGGGCAATTCTGGGATCCAAAGTCTGGGACCAGACTGGGCCAGCCCGTATGAGCCTCCATTAGCGGCCCGCAACTGAGTTCAACTTAAGATAAGACGTTTGGGAAGAAAACTCAACAGCACACAAGGAATAATAGTGTTTCTTCTTTCTTTTCAAGTAACTAAAACAAACGCATTAAGTGATTCAGTTCCATCTTGATAATCATTATGCCAAACACCAGGGAGAGGCCAAGTCATGTTTTCGACATAAATACTCAATTAGAGAAAGAGAAGAGAAGTTCTTGAAAGTGTCTATACAAGAGAGAGAGATATACCCTATGCACAAGTGTCTCCACAACCGAGCTGTGTTCGTATATTAAATGAACATCAACCCCAAACCTAAACAAGCAACTGAGACAGATAAACAGGGAAACTTATGGAGCTCTGCAACAATTTGGCTTGGCTCTACTGCTGAATCTCCGTCCCAAACGTGTTCTCACCGCTGTAAGTGACATACAGAAACCCATCTTCATCCTTCTTCTCTTCATATATAGCAGACATGATGGCACCTATGTTGGATAAAGGCCACAGTGATACAGGGGAAGGGAAAAAATCAGAACTGCATAATATTGATAGCAAATTGTGAAGTAGTAACTGCTAACCGGTTGGTGGCAGGACATTGTCGACGAAGATAAAGATCGCCTTCTCAGCACTCAGCTTGATCCTCTTTCGGATAACATAAACAAACTGTCCAACAGTCAAGTCAGCAGGGACAAGGTACCTGCTAATGCAGAAAGCGTCATTTAGTATACTGAACACGCGCTCTAGTAGAAGCTAAAGAGATTTCTAATAATGTGAAAGCATGAATCCATCAGCATGAATAAGAATCGGGAGATCAAACAACCCAGAGGAGAGCATCGTCAAATGGAATCCGTACTTTTTCTTATCTATGTTTGGTATTTCGCTTCTCTCTGCCTTCTCCACAATGACCTTCAACACAATAGAAGAACAGAGGAAAAAAGGAAGTTAGCAACCATTTAGAGATGAAGACAAATATTTCTCATTTGATTCAGGCACTTTAGAGCAGGCTTCAATTTGAAATAAGTTAAGCATATCCTAGAGCAAGAATAGTCCCATCTAGTGTGGCAAACAAACGTACACTGGCTGAAATGAATCTTTGTCGCCCCCAATATCACCAGAATGAGCAGAAACTAAACAGCATGACATTCTCCCCCCGAAAAGGGTTAATAAACCATGAATGCAGTGCAGAACAGTTAAGTGAATATAAGTCTAACAACAGAAGACACATTTAACTCCAAAGTATCATTCATGAACAGCACGCCAGAATTCTCACCGGAATTCTATCTGGGTATTTCTCCCTAATCCTGGCTGCCTCAGCTTTTCTCTTCTCTGCAAAGAAACACAGCAGCACTTGATTGTCAAAACCCACAAGAACAGACGTATCTACAATCTCAACTCAAAGACATACCATGGTCATGCTCTTGCTTGAAGCAACTCTTAGCCATCCCTTCTTCCCTTCCTGCACCTCATCAAAACAAAAGTAAGTAATTAGTCAGCCCAAAACTTCCTCCAGCCAAACAAAACCCTGAAAAGTTTCTACTTCCGAGTTCTACATACAATTCCATTCCAGGCCAGAATCTCAATTAACTGACTACCCACCTAGAATAACAATAAACTAAGTACCCCCAATAACCAAGCCAGGGATTATGTTCTTCCACTTGCTTCGCTCATCCAAAAGGAGCGAACAATTTTAAGCAGCACGAAGTCAAAATCGAAAGTGAACTAATTCGTCGGATATTCAATCAATCGTTCCACAGAAACACAGCAAATTCAGAAACTTAGAAGAAATCCCAAAGCGCATACCTTATGAAACGATTCCGAGGGAGCGGAGAAGACGAGGAGGCTGAAGAAGTAGATGCTGGCGAGTTTGATCGAAACTCTGTTAACAGCTGGTGACTCGGTTGGTCTTTTGGCAGCCGATCATATGAAAAAGAACCCCACCAAATTATCGGGCTTTCTCCAAAATCGAAGAGTAATTCATGAATTTTGAGGCTACAAAATAATAAATATAAATAATTATAATTGAGGAAGTTTGCTCCGTGTTTGCGTTCCACGTTACTTCAAACTTGGGGCTCAAGCTGGAAGATCGATCCAACGGCTTTAAATGTTAAACCATTAAGTCACGTGGGTGGATGATGAAGCGGCAAGCGGATATCCAGTCGTTTCAAATATAGTTGAAGGGTTTGGAACTCCTAACTTGATGAATGTAAAAGCAAGTTGACTTGCACCTCCATATCCGCTGTATTCGAGGAATCGAAGGTTGCCGACGGGATGGCTTCCTCGGCAAGGACCTGGAAACGTGAGCCCGATCCCGTACTTGCTTCCCCCACGCCCGTGCTAGGGGGTTCCCTCATAGGTTGCGACCCGTTCACTTGAACTGGTGATGTTTTCTTCTTCTGGTTGCTTTTCCGAGGCTTCGCCATCATCCATTCACCATAAATAGGCGCTGGCGAAGGGGTTGGCTGCTGTTGACTCACTTCCTCCGCTGCAGGGGCCTTGAATAGGGTCGGGCAAGTTTTCTTGGAGTGCCCATAGCGTCCACACTCTGTGCATATACCTTCAATCTTATACTAGGATAGGAGAGGCTTCGTCAAGTCAACCTCCACACTAACTCTAGCGAACCGTCCCCGATCTCCAGTCTGAGTAGCACGATCGACCCTTACAGGCCGCCCAATTTTGGATGCGATCCGCTCGACCGCTTCCCTGTTGATAAACTCTCTAGGTAAGTCCGGTAGTTTGGCCCAGACCATTGTCGAGGCAACCTCCGCCAACTTGGGGTTGAAATTCCTTCTCCATGGTCGAACGGTGATATAATGCTCACCGATCATCCATGGCCCTCCAGCCGCAGCGCGCTCATAGTCCACTTGGCTAGTAAAACGGACTGCATAAAATCCATAGGAAAGACTCGAGATTTGCAGGACCCCGCATTTTGCCCACAGCGACTCCAGCCGTTTTGAGATCACCGGGAAAGGGAACGAACGCCCAAGGACCTTGACAATGAGAGCAGAACGCCATTCCCTACGCCATCGTTGTTTCTCCATTGCCGTGAACGGGATCGTTGAACAGCGAGGATCGTCATCCTCCGGGACCTCATCATCGAGGTCATCTTCTCTCATAGCTTCGGCCACATCCTCGGAGTCTGACTCCGCTACATACCAGTTCTCCTGTAACAGAACGTCGGTGAAAGATCACCCTTGATCTGTATTCCAGGCCGTTTTTTGATGGTGCTCAGCATCCTGGAATTCCACGTCTCCCATAGGCTGGTTATGACGCTCCGCCGTCATATCTGTATCGAAAAGCGGGTTTAGATTCATGGCCTTCGGCCGTTTCTTCGCTTGCTGTGCTTCCTTCTCGCCCTTCGCGTTCGGGGAGGAGGAGCTGGGCGGCGACCGGCGGCCGCCGTTGAGTGGGTCTCCCTGGCCGGCGCCCGGGTGCTGGCCCCCCGACGCAGGCGCATTCATCGTCGTCGGAATCCTAGCAGCAACTTGATGATGTTGCTGTGCTTTCCCTTCGCCATTCTGCTCTTGCTTCAGACTTTCTTCCATCTGAGTTGCTTTCTCCTTCTTCTGCTTCCTCCCTAGCTACCTCATGTTGGCAATTTCCTCTCCTTTCGCCTCCGCCATTTTTGGTATTGGAAGCTAATGAAGGTCGAACAAGGAGTGGATTAGCTAATAGTTAGAGGTCACTCTGATCACTGAACTGTGGATTTTTTTATCCTTTAGTTCTAGCAAAATCTTCACTGAAACTCACAATTGTATCCCTGCACACATAAAGATCAATTACTCCATATCAAATAATTGGTAAATGATGTAGTTGAAAACCTGGAATTCACCAACTTCTCCACCTTAACGTCCTTTCACAAGGCTGGAATGTGAGCAGATCGATTCAGATATCCTAGCTAATCAATGAGGTAATATACATAAAAAGAACAGACAACAAGGTACAGGCAAATCAGGATTCCGGACTACTGATAAACTTTAGATTACATGGTATGCTCGCAATTCGATGGTGTGCCGTGTACATACTAAATCACTAATGCTCTCATCAAAGTGAAATTGCTCCAAGTCATGAACCGGGAAGATGCAACAACCAGTGTCATGAACCCAAAATGGAACCAACCAATACAATGTGTGTAAAACAGTCCAAGCAGTACAAGGGAGGATGCGGGCAACAATCAGCATAACAGCATGATCATTTGCTCGCCTCTGCCATCCTCTTGCGTATTTCATGAGCAGTGTTGAAAATACCCAGAGTCGGCTTGTTGCAGACGAAGCATTTCTTATTCTTGGAATGATGCTGCAAGACAAGAAACAGAAGAAAACACGAAACTGAATGTTATCCACGTGATAGAAATTGCAAGGAAAACATATAACTTCACAACATAATTTATGTTCACGATTCAAAGTTTCAAGAGATGACTAGGTGAGTACCTTTAGAGCACAATGTTCACAGAAGTAATGCTTGCATTTGGTCACGACAGGATCTTCAAAAGGCTCCCTACAAATGAAACATGCAAATGGCAACGCATCATCATCGTCGTCATCATCGTCGTCATCATTAGCTTCATCAAATTCGCCATCCTCCTTGGCCAAGGCACCCAAAGCTAATTTTCTCTTCCTTGCCTTCTCTGCCTCGTCCCACTCCTTCTCCATCTGCCATCCAGACTTGTAATCGCCTCGATCGTGCATAAACTTGCAAGAATCTCCATAACCACAGTAACCAGTTTCTTTGTAATCTTTACATATATCCGGCTGATAGTCGAATCTTGCCGAGACTCTGATGTGTGCAGATGCCCTAAGTGGTCCATGCGATCCACCAGCTTTCTCACTTGCAATTGTTAGCTCTCTTCTAAAGCCAGCTTTGTGATCTGTATATCCATGAATTCCCTTGTACAGCTTCTCGTTGCTACCTGAAGAACCCTGTTTGTTACCCTTCAGATCCTCCCCAGCTTGCTTAAGAGCTCTCTCGCGTATTGCCCGGGCATCTCTTCCGAAGTCTGTCTCGGTTTCCAGAGTTGTTGTTGCCCTGCTGTCATTTTGTACCTGAATTACCTTTGAAGACTCAAACTGAAAGATGGGCTTCTCATTGTTGTCTGAGTTGGATTCTGATGGCTTTGAGCTCTTCGAAGGTCCTGACGAGAAGTATAGCTTGTTATCAGCCTTTGGCGCCTTCTTCTGATTGCTTAAGAAAGAGCTTTCGGTTTTTGAATCCTCTGCATTATCATCTTCTACTGCTCTCTTCCTGATGTTCTTGCTCTTAGTTGGCTTTCTGAAAAAGTTGCATACTGCAGAATGTGGAGAAGATGTAGCATAAATTAAGAACCCAAGAAAGAGTGAACAACGCAAATTATAGCAGAAACTATGGTTGAAGACAAAGCATCAATACCTTGTTCAGGCTGTTGAGATTCTCCTGAATCAGTCATATTTGGATGAACGGAGCAAAGAGATCAGGGCTTCACCAAAAATTGTCCTCTGCAAAACATCATTACGATTTCAGCCACTAAGCACAATTATAACACTACCCACCGATACTAAAGCACAAGTCTGTCCATACCAAAAATCTCAACATGGAACACCCCAGAAACCCTGTCAACAGCTTAATCAGCATGGAAAGTATGATTCCCTCTCTCTGAGAACACTTCCAATGGAGAGAAGAGAAATTCAGCTAGAAACTTGCATTACATAGGCAGGCCGATTGCAAGGGGTAAAACACTGATAACTAGGGCAAAATTCAGAAAGCAGATATTGAATTCACAGAATGAAAGAAGCGAAACCAAAGCTGTCAACAGTGATGGCAATGAACAACAAACCTTGCAATCGCAAACCAGTACGAGTCTCGTCTTCTTCTTCCACTTGCCAGCAATCAAACTTACGCCTCCATCAACAAAACTAGCTAGATAGGAAAGAAGCGCGGCCTTATCTGTCGATTCAACAAACGCTTACAAGAAGCTCGTCGTCAGTTTTCAGTTCCCCTAGTCGAATTTCTTCAAGCTCAAGCGACAAGAAAGGACGAATTAGGGACAGAAAAAGAACTTCCGACTGCGCTCTCTGGCCGCCCTCGCACGCTGCCGCGACTCCCGTCTCAGTCCCGCCTCCTCCTCTGCCTTGCTTCCCCGCGTCTCCTCCGCCTGAAGCGCCTCCTTGCCGCTAGAGTTCCAGCTTCGATTGCCGGCGGTGAGCTAGTCCGACGCTTCTCTCTCTGTTACCGGGAATCGGGAATTTTGCCCTCCTGTCCTCGAGAGATGGTAGCGGTTCATCTTCCGGCCGACTGGTTCAATAAAAGCTTTCTAATTTCCTTTTTCTTCCCCAGATTCGCGTTTCTTATTAACCGAACCAACTTCAATCTCGGTTCGAAACGTCTCCAAGAGACAGAACGACGTCGCCGCTAAAGCTGAACCTAACGGCTTTAGCGGCGACGTCGTTCTGTCTCTTGGAGACGTTTCGAACCGAGATTGAAGTTGGTTCGGTTAATAAGAAACGCGAATCTGGGGAAGAAAAAGGAAATTAGAAAGCTTTTATTGAACCAGTCGGCCGGAAGATGAACCGCTACCATCTCTCGAGGACAGGAGGGAAAAATTCCCGATTCCCGGTAACAGAGAGAGAAGCGTCGGACTAGCTCGCCGCCGGCAATCGAAGCTCGAACTCTAGCGGCAAGGAAGCGCTTTAGGCGGAGGAGACGCGGGGAAGCAAGGCAGAGGAGGAGGTGGGACTGAGACGGGAGTCGTGGCAGCGTGCGAGGGCGGCCAGAGAGCGCAGTCGGAAGTTCTTTTTCTGTCCCTAATTCGTCCTTTCTTGTCGCTTGAGCTTGAAGAAATTCGACTAGGGGAATTGAAAACTGACGACGAGCTTCTTGTAAGCGTTTGTGGAATCGACAGATAAGGCCGCGCTTCTTTCCTATCTAGCTAGTTTTGTTGATGGAGGCGTAAGTTTGATTGCTGGCAAGTGGAAGAAGAAGACGAGACTCGTACTGGTTTGCGATTGCAAGGTTTGTTGTTCATTGCCATCACTGTTGACAGCTTTGGTTTCGCTTCTTTCATTCTGTGAATTCAATATCTGCTTTCTGAATTTTGCCCTAGTTATCAGTGTTTTACCCCTTGCAATCGGCCTGCCTATGTAATGCAAGTTTCTAGCTGAATTTCTCTTCTCTCCATTGGAAGTGTTCTCAGAGAGAGGGAATCATACTTTCCATGTTGATTAAGCTGTTGACAGGGTTTCTGGGGTGTTCCATGTTGAGATTTTTGGTATGGACAGACTTGTGCTTTAGTATCGGTGGGTAGTGTTATAATTGTGCTTATTAGGTATTGAATCTCGCACTTTGTTGAATGTTACCTAAGCTTATTTACTCTTTTACAGTTTCTCAGGCGGTATAATCCGGTTTTATTCCGGTATTTTCCCGGTATGGTACCCTAATTTTGTCGGTACGGTTTTTTAACAAAAAAATAATTTTTTTATTCCAAAAACGGTATTTGCCGGTAGGAAACGGTTGAACCATGGTTGTACCACGATTTACCATGCCAAAAACGATTCCGGTTTGATGGCCGGTACGGTTTCGTAATCCATGGTTCCCCGCCGCTGCGATAGCTCTAGGGATGGCAATGGGTCGGGTTGGGGCGGGTTTTGCCAAACCCGAACCCAAACCCATGGGTTTGTCCGTCAAAAAAACCAGGGGTAAAACCCGCTGGGTTTGAAAAACTCAAACCCAACCCAACCCGCTGGGTATCCGCGGGTTGATGGGTTACCCGCGGGTTTTTTTGGTAAAATATTTATAAAATTATAATTAACAAGAAGCTATTAAAAATAAAAATATTTATACTGATAGTTCATAATTGCTACAAGAAAGGCAGAGAACGAATTTGGACTTATTTTTCTCTTTATAGAATATGTTGTGAGATGATATATTATCAACACTATGAAGGATGGGGCAGCAGAGAATGAGCTAAGTGTATATTATCTACTGAAATCATGTGCCGTTTTAAAAGCTTTAGCTTAAACCCTCTATATGAAATCATTGTTTCTAAAGCTACATATTGGCACATACCGTTATATTTTGAGGATAAGTTCCAGTAAGCTCTCTGAACCGGCATACACTGAAGAGAAGGTTTTCAAAGCTGTCTCTTGCATGTTCTTCAGTCAGTGTCCTCCATTTCACACTGGCTTCATTACCTGTGACCATCAAAGGGTTCAGATCAAGATCTTGGATACTTTAAACCAATCAATTTCGATCACAACACTAAGAAAAGTGGCAGAGCATGTTAGGTGCTTGGTTAATGCAAAATTCAATAACAGTTAAGTCAGTGCAGTATATCTTGATTATAACAAGCCAGGGCCAGCCTACATAGTAAAGCAGCTTAGCACAAACCCTGCTGCTTGGAAAAACTACTAGAGCCTCTTGAGCTATCAGGAAGAAGTTCATCAATTGAGAATCATAAAGCATGATATAGACTGATTCTGGAAAGTATCAGAGAACCTGAAGACACATTTTTAGTTCCATGAATTGAAATTCAACAACCAAACTATATTCCATTTTTCTTCATCATCAAGCTTTGGATAATCAAGCAAAATACCAGAGAAATCAATCCAGATAAAAATGCGGACTTACATCCAAAGGTATTAAGAGAAAAAAGTTAAATCTTTCAGAAGAGGAGAAGGATGATTTAGAAAGTGGTGAATCAGGAATCACGATTCACAACTAGTGGCCACTTGGCACTAGCAGTCAACAACGACAAAGAGCAGCATGGTAGAGGGCTAGGTAAAGGGTAAGTGGACGACAATGAGAAGGTTCTGGGTTTGTGGCTACTAGGTGCTTATGGTTGACGACGATGTAAAGCAACAGGGCAGCGGGCTAATCGAAGGGAATAGAGGGACGACAAGGTTCTAGGCTTGTGGTTGTTGACCCCTGGCAGTCAACGTTGGCTAAGAACAATAAGGTAGAGGGTCGTTCGAGGGGAATGAAGCCTGTATGCTTACCTTTGCAGAAGTGCTCTCGCGGAGCAGAAGACCAAGGAGAGGGCGGCGGGGGAGGCCGGCGGGGGAGGGCGGCGGGAGTGGAGTCGGAGGCGCGCGCCGAGGAGCAGGGAGAGGGCGTCGTGACTGAAGTCTGAAATCGGGAGAGGAGTCGGAGGCGCGGCCGCGTAGCAGAGGAGAAAGGAGAGTTCGCCGGGACGGAATCGGGAGTGGAGTCGTAGGTGCGGCGGCCGCGTAGGAGAGTTCGCCGTGCCGGACTGGAGACTGGACTCTGGTTCTGGTAGGGATGACTGGAGATCGCGATTTGCGAAAGGAGAGGGGCGGCAGCAGTCTTTGGGAGAAAGGAGAGGGGCTGCCGAGTACTCTTGGTCGATTAGGGATTTAGGTTTAGGTTTAATCCCCTCTCTTCTCCATATGTCCGGGTATCCACGGGTCGGGTTCCCTCAAACCCGAACCCGCCCCAACCCACCCAAACAGTCACCGGGTTTAAACCCGAACCCGGCCCGAACCCAGTCAACACGGGTTTTACCCGGTTTGACCGGGTTGGGTCGGGTCGGGTACCCGCGGGTCCGGGTTGAACTGCCATCCCTAGATAGCTCACCTTCGTGTGCCATTATTGCGACCAGAACAATTTTATATTTATACAAAGCATAAATTTGTATCAATGAGCGTTTCGGTACAAGGACTTTAGCAAACACAGCACTCTCTTTGATCTGCTTCCAAAATGCGGAACTCTTTTGATCCGCCAAGGCCGAACGTGGATCTCTCCTGGATCCACCAAACAGATGTGAATCTCAAATCCCAAGGTCACCGAATGAGGGCCAACAAAACTGACGTCCACTGCCCCGCACCGAACTAGGCTCTGATACCACTTCTCCTAACCGGGATTGCTCCATTAGTACGTTATTGTTCGCTTTGGGCCAATACCGCATGTTTTTACTCTTTGGTGTCCTCCCCAAAAGGCCACTTACTAATTGGGGTGGCTGACACAAATATGCAAGGGTTCCTTCCTTGTATTTCCGATGTGGTACTTGGATTGTCTAACAATCCTCCCCTTAAGCCAAGGACCACGAACATCGTGTCCTCACCTCAACGATTATCTTGATCCGCCAAACACCTTGTATCGATGGGCTTCTCGGTACAAGGATTTTCCCAGACACAGAACCAGGCTCTAATACCACTTATCATAACGGGGGTTGCTCCATTAGTACGGTATTGTACGCTTTGGGCCAAGACCGCACGGTTTTACTGTTGGGTGGCCTCCCCAAAAGGCCTCGTACTAATAAGCTTTGTGGACACTAATATACAAGGGTTCCTTCCCTTGTATTTCCGATGTGGTATTTGGATTGTCCCGTAACACTTGGTTATATTTATTTAGAGTGACGATCAGAGTTATTGAATTAATGATTGTAACGGGAAGGAGCTAACGAAAAGTTCTTTATGCATGGCTTGACTAAATTAATAGATGAATGATCTAGTTATTTTTCAATATGATTCGTATTATAGGAATAATTGTGACGTGATGGTAGCTATTAAATTTGCGTATGTAAATTAAATATGGCTAGTGGTGTAGTATACGTTAAAATCACCTACCTAGGATTTAGCATGTACAGGATAAAAATGACCTTTTAAATTAATATGTAGTTATGTAAGAGATGGGTAAATAGTTATGTTAAGATTATTAATTAATTACCTTGTAAAGTATATATTTGTGGATTAAAACGAGAAATGGATCTTACTAGCATGCATTATTTGAGTATATATATATCCATAGTTAGTAATAATAAAGGTAGTTCGTGAAGAAATTAAATCTAGGTTGCATACGAGGATGAGTGCGTAATCTTTTTAGTTAATTGAAGTAGGGCGATGAATTAATTGTGGATTTTTGCGTATATGTAAAGGAGAACTAAATGGCTAATGATGGATGTAGTACGAGTTCTTCAAGTTTTAACCGGAGGGATGGTTAATATTGAGGGGACGATTTTAGTACGTATATAAATATATTGGTCATCATATATCAAGTATCGAAATCCAACTCGACGATCTTACGGGAATTTTTTAGAGATTCGGTAAGGGAATTGGTCATCTCGCCAAAGGAAAAACGAATTGTGTTGGAGGTCTGTCTCAGTCATTTTGATTAAGGAAATAAAGTGAGTGTAAAGGGGTAAAATCTACACATTAAATAGTTTAAAGTATTTACCTAACGGTATTTAAATTTGAGATTTGCTACTATGTGTCATATTTGCTTATGTACGTTTACGTGATGCATGATATTATGTGTAAATTATGTTTTAAGTTATACATTTGATTGCCTGTATTTAATTACCAGTAAGTTACAGTTAAGAAGTAAGTTGCTTTCAAGGAGTATTTCACCTTCAAGGAAGGTGAAAAGTTTTAAGAGTTTTTCGTCGCTGGCGCTAGTCAGTTGCCCATATGAGATTTTGAGATGAGCAGCAGTTATGCTTTTGAGAATTTTTAAGATGAGTAGCAGTTATGCTCTTGAGAATCATGGCGAAGAGCCACTACGATAAGTTTAAGATGTTAGGGGGGATTATCGTCACGACTCCCCGAACTAAGTTTAAGTTTATGGAAGCCTAGATGGGCATTAATACGAATGAGTTGGGCAACTGGACTAGCTAGTTGGGGATGCCCGTGTCAGTCAAGAATTTAAGTCGAAATTTGAGTTTTAAGAATGTAGAGTAACATTCCCCATCCAATCGGCATTCTCAACCCGTTCCCGCGTGCGCTTCACCCGTGTCGGTGCCGAATCGTCGTCCTCCTGTTTCCTGCCAATGCCGCTGTTCAAACTTGCAGAACCTGGGAGATCCGAATTTGATTTGGGCAAATCTTCTTCTGGAACCGCCAATTGCAATTGAAGCATCCTAAAGTTTCTTGGGGCCTGACCCAATGATTCCACGTCAACCGATTTGTTCGATTCATCGCCAACTCTCCCAACCCATTCAGGCCTATCTTGCTCGTGCTTGCGTTCCAACAGGGGGGTTGGTGCTCGAATGGGGTCCTGCAAAACAGAAAGATTTGGCTCCAATGGATAAAGGGGAAAGCTTCCCTGGGTATGGGTGAACGCGTCAGGCGCCTTGGTCTGGTTCGGAGTGTTCCTAGGAGGCCCAACCAATAATACCTCTCTCCTGCCCTGCCTCACCGTCGACGAAAAACAGGGGCGCTGCAGGAAGCTCGTGTTTCGGATCTTCTCCCGCCTCAAGGTCGTCAGCATGAATCGACCCGTGACTAAACCCGCCTTGGCCTTGCCTTCTCGAGTCTCCTCACCAGTCTTAGCCCGATTTGCGGGCAGTTTCAGTTGATCGCCTCAAACTTCTGATGGAGACATAGGTTTCAGCACAAAGTTCTTCTCACCGAACTTGAATTTATGAAAATTCGTGCCGCCGTCGTGGGTTACTGCTCTATCGAATTGCCAAGGCCTCCCTAGCAAGATATGGGCAGCTTGCATCAACACAACATCGAACAACAACTCATCCTTGTAGTTACCGATTTCAAACGCGACGCGAGCTTGCTTTGTGACCTTTATCGATCCGTAATCGTTGAGCCAATGCAAATTGTAAGGCTCTGGATGTTTGATTGTGGCCAACCCCAACTGTTTGATGGCGTCGTGGCTAATGACATTCGTGCAACTGCCTCCGTCGATGACCATCGACAAACACTTACCACTGACCAAACATCTTGTGTGAAAGAGGTTGGTTCGTTGGCCTTCATCTGCCTCAAGTTCCAGAGCCAAGGCTCGAAGATTCATTCCGAACAAAAAAGGACCCTTCTCCACCTCAATTTCCTCATCCAATTCTTCCTAAGATGAGCTGTCGACCTTCTTCCGTGGAACCTCCGCATTGTTAGAAACATATTCACCTTCCCGCAAAACCAGCGTCTTCACATTCAGGCATTGATTCGCCTTATGCCCCCTACCGTAGCATTTGAAGCACTGGATTGAACCGCTAGAAGCTCCTAGGCGTTCTGAATTCAGCGGGGGAGGATTTCGTGGCGCGAATTTCGGTGCCTCCAATTTGTGAGGTAGCATGACAGCCTCAACTTTGCTCGCACTGAAGTGTTCTTCTGCTGCTTCTCGATCTTAACCGCTAGATGCACCGATCCACCTGGGATGATATGCAGGCGATCCGAGGCACTCCTTGTTGCACTTGTGGCGGCTGTCAATGCAATGGCTGCACGTGTGACTAGGTGCGGCAGTATCATGCTACACGGGATACTGAACAACTTTTTGAATTCTTAATGGGGCTCGACGATGCATACGCGGTGGTACGCTCACAAATTATGAGCACTAAACCTACTCCCTCCCTAGCCGATGCCTATCAGATGGTTGCGGCCGAGGAGCAGCATCGCCACATCAACAACACTCGGCAGCCGCGGGTCGATACATCCGCATTCCAGGTGCAGGCTGGCAGGAAACAACGCGAAGATCGCGATGATCACGAGCGCGATCGAGTTCGTTGCACTCATTGCAACCGCCTCTGTCACACCAAGGAAGTGTGTTATCGCCTCGTGGGCTTTTCCTCAGGCCATCCTCGTGCTCGTTCCAATGATGAGAAGACGGGTTCTTATGGTGGTAAGAAGCCTAAAGCGGCCCATGTTGAGCAAGACGCATCCAGCCCCCTGCTCCTCGGATTCACGGCTGCCCAGCTCGCCCAACTGCGTGAGTTGTTAACCGTCACATCTCCTGATGCTCCCACAACTCCAACAACTCATATGGCGGGTAATCACTCTGATCTTGATATGTGGTTAATAGACTCTGGGTGTAACGAACACATTGTTTGTGACATACGTTGGATGGATTCTGTTGATACCGTATTTTTGAGTCTGAAGTAAAGATACCCGATGGGTCTGGGGTTCCGATCAAGGGAGTGGGCATGGTTCAACTTACTAGCAATCTTCGTCTTAACAGAGTTTTACATGTTCCGGGTTTCAAATGCAACCATTTGTCTGTGAGTCGATTGGCGCAAGATCATAACGTGACTGTCACTTTCGCCAATGATTTTTGCTTACTCCAGGTCTTACCTTCCAAGACGCTGATTGGAGTGTGTAGACTCAAGGACGGACTGTACTACTTGCCCAGGTACGGAGACGCTGCTGTGCACCAGGCATGCCGTGTGAAGAACTCCGCGGCCTTCTTTTCTCTATGGCACACCCGTTTGGGTCATCCATCCTTAGATAAACTCAGTAGTTTGCAAGGTTTATTGGATTGTACTTTTCCTTCTTCGGATTCATCGCATTGTGATTCTTGTTTGAGGGCAAAACAGACTCGGATTCCTTTTACCAGTAGCACAATAAAAACCAAGGGGTGTTTCAATTTAGTTCATGTGGACATTTGGGGTGCATATCGGACTCCAGCTCTTGATGGTTCTCGATATTTGATGACGATTGTTGATGATTACAGTCGCTCTACTTGGGTCTCCTTGATGCGGTTCAAATCTGATGTTGAAGGTTATCTTAAGATGCACTGTGAGCTAGATCGCACGCAGTTTGGCAGGGAAGTTAGTCGCATTCAGGCAGACAATGGTCCGGAATTTCAAACCATGTCTCTTTGAGCCTATTATGAGGATGATGGGATTCTTCTTCAGACATCATGCACTGACACCCCTCAGCAAAACGGTGTCGTAGAACGGAAACATCGTCATTTGTTGGAGACGGCTCGTGCACTTATGTTCCGTGCTAGTCTTCCGGTTCGTTTCTGGGGTGAGTGTGTCCTCACTGCCACATACCTGATAAACCATCTGCCGACTCCTGTGCTCTCCGGTAAGACCCCCTTCGAAGTTCTCTTAAGCCGAATCCCCAGCTACTCCCATCTCTGCAGTTTTGGGTGCCTGGCATATGCCAAGGATACACATCGTGGACTCGACAAGTTTGCCGACAGGAGGAGAGTCGAAATTTTTCTTGGCTATTCGCGGTTCACAAAGGGTACCGCATTTATGATCTCAGAACTCATCAGATCATTGTCTCTCGCGATGTACATTTCGGGGTTGATGTCTTTCCATTTGATGTGAAACCCCACAGCACGCGCAGCTCTCCGTTACCACGTTCACCTACGGACGTGCATGGCCAGCTTCCCATGCATGCTCTTGACGAGCTTGACGTTCCTCCGTCGCTCGGTGCAGTCATTGGTGACGATGAGCCCGCTGACCTTCTCGGGATGGAGGGCTCGCATGATTTGGAGTACTCCGCATCGGATGACGAGGCCACACCTCTTACCTCCCAAGGAAAGGAAGGGGTGAGAAGGTTGTTAAACCCCTATCGAACCCCCCGGTTGGACCCAGTTCAACCCGAGTCGGGCTTCAAAACGGCCTCCAGAAAACCCCCCGGTCTGACCCCTAAACAGGGAGAAGAAGAGAGGCAGAAGAGAGGAAAAGGAACGAAAGAAGGGAAATGGTAGGTGGATCATGGAGGTTAGGTAGATTTATTTTGTTGAAAATAAGTTTTTAATAGCTATATGTAAGATAAATTTTATTTCACTCATTAAATTTTTAATTACTACTTTACTTGTATATATATTTAGAAAACGTCTAAAACGGCTCAAACCGGCCGGACCCCGATCAGACCATTAAACCTCAAACCCCTTGCTTGACCGACTCAATGACTTAAACCGGTTTGACAAAGATGAGTATCTTACAATTCAATAAAAGAAAATAACATGTGTATCTTACAAAGCACTGGCATGCGTAAGAACTTGTCTCCATCATTTCTTGTTGAAGTATAGTAAAGGGCCCTAACGCTAACACTTGTATTAAGTCCAAACATATTTATCACTGTAACAAAGATGAGTTTCCTTTATAATGCAAGAGAAATGAAAGTGGATACGTGTGTGTATGTTATTTGGACAAGTATTTTCTGAAAACAAAAGAGACAAATGGAATAGGGTTCCTTTATCCGGGTGTAGCAAAGCAATTAAACTGAAACATCACTTAGGACAAACTATAGTAGAAGGGATTACGTACGAAAGCTAATTCCTTTCCTGTTTCTCACACAAATATCAAGTTTAGAGTCTTCTTAATTGGAATAAAGCCGGACTTATGTGTGTATATATATGTCCAACAATCGCACTTCAATATAGCAAAAACATAAACTCACAGTTGAAAGCATAAGGAAAATTTTCTCCAAGCAACATACTAAAGAAATTAAATATATATATCCATGGCTTCGAAAGCTTGTATTCTTTTGTTCTTGTTGTTGGCTGCTTGCTTCCAGGGTGCGACTCTCAACAACCAACTCATCACCGCTCCCTTCCCGTGTTAATCATGATCACCATACAAGCTTTGCTTCATGTGTCGTCCATTGCGTGTCCCTCCATGCTTTCTAAGCATTATAATATCTACTGTTCGTGTTTTACATCTGCCTACAATAAATAAAAGGGTGCATGCATGATGCATGCATGCAATTTCCTCCACCACTCATCTAATCAACCTGTAACACCCCGATGTTTGGCTTCAAGTTCGATCATAATAATGAATGATTGGATAGACGATTATATACGACGAGTTGCAACAGTGAATAAGAGAAAATAATAATGTGTTATTATTATTATTATCTAGTTAAAAACGAACACTTATAGTGACTGGCTCCCCATTTACATGTCCTTACTCTGAGATCTCCAACCTACATAAATCATCATCATATCCCTACATCTAGCAATCCAATTATTCAACCACTTGGTCCCTACAATAATTACTCCAGATCTGAAATAATGGCAAGATAAGATCCAATCAATAGAATTCGATTAAAGAAAGAGGAAGAAGAGATGCTTCCGTTTATCTGTTCAAATAAAGCAGCAGTAGCAACCCTCCCATCTTCTTCTCGTTACACAAACAAAATTTGATGCTAGAATTCTAAATCTACCCTCTCCAAAAGTGTTTTTGCATTAGTGGGGAAGTTTCAAAAGTCCAAAATTCCAGAATTTAACATTAGCTCATAATCAAGTTTAGTGTTTATTTCATTATTCTAATTACCAAATTTTGACTTCAAAGTTTGAGTCCATTTTAGTAACCAGTTCACGTACCGAATTAAATTGTAGTTACGTTGGCCAAGTGATTGAGTGATCAATCGACGAGATCAATGTCGAATATAGTTTGAACAACCTCCATCACGTTCTAGGCACGAAGTTAAGCTAAAGAGCTAGCTAGACCTCCTCTTTCATTTCTTTTGAGTTTTGGATATCTTAGTGTCATAACCGGATTGCTCTATTAGTACGATATTGTCCGCTTAGGGCCAAGCCCGCACAATTTTACTCTGGGGTGTCCTCCCCAGAAGGCCTCGTACTAATGAGCTTGGTGGACACTAATATACAAGGGTTCCTTTCTTTGTGTTTCCGATGTGGTACTTGGATTGTCTCATAACAATCCTCTCCTCAATCCAAGCATCACGAACTTCGTGTCCTCACCCTAGCGATTATCTTGATCCGCCAGACGCTTTGTATCAATGGGCGTTTCGGTACAAGGACTTTAGCAAACGCAGCACCCTCTTTGATCTGCTTCCAAAATGCGGAACTCTTTTGATCCGCCAAGGCCGAACATGGATCTCTCCTGGATCCACCAAACAGATGCGAATCTCAAATCCCAAGGTCACCGAATGAGGGCCAACAAAACTGACGTCCACTGCCCCGCACCGAACCAGGCTCTGATACCACTTCTCCTAACCAGGATAGCTCCATTAGTACGATATTGTTCGGTTTGGGCCAATACCGCACGGTTTTACTCTTGGGTGTCCACCCCAAAAGGCCACTTACTAATTGGGGTGGCTGACACAAATATGCAAGGGTTCCTTCCTTGTATTTCCGATGTGGTACTTGGATTGTCTAACAATCTTCCCCTCAAGCCAAGGACCACGAACATCGTGTTCTCACCTTAACGATTATCTTGATCCGCCAAACATCTTGTATCTATGGGCTTCTCGGTACAACGATTTTCCCACACACTGTTGGGTGGCCTCCCCAAGAGGCCTCGTACTAATAAGCTTGGTGGACACTAATATACAAGGGTTCCTTCCCTTGTATTTACGATGTCGTACTTGGATTGTCCCATAACACTTGGTTATATTTAATTAAGTGACGATCGGAGTTATTGAATTAATGATAGTAACGGGAAAGAGCTAACGAAAAGTTCTTCATGCATGGCTTGAATAAATTAATAGATGAATGAGTTAGTTATTTTTCAATATGATTCGTATAATAGGAATAATTGTGACGTGATGGTAGCTATTAAATTTGTGTATGTAAATTAAATATGGCTAGTGGTATAGTACACGTTAAAATCACCTACCTAGGTTTTTTTTTTTTGGTAAAAACGCGAGCGCAGAGAGGCGCTCAGCCCTTAAATATTAATAGTACGGGGGTTTGTAACCCAAGCAGGTCGAAGTACAGCCAGTGATTTAGCATAGAGCTAGTGATTTCCACAATCTGGATCCCCACAGGAATAGAATGTCCTACCGAAGCTAAGTAATCAGCAACATAGTTGCCTTCCCTGAACACATGCATGATATGAACCTCCCATTGCTGCTTCAGCTGCCGCTTGATCGAGTTTACCAGCGTATGGTGGGGATGAAGAGTCTGATCACCTTGAAGCAAAGCAATGGTTGCAGCCGAGTCTATCTGAACACGCCAGTCTTAAGCCATAGTCGATGCCAGCTAATTCCGCATGAGTTATTGAGCCACCACCAAGGTTCACCATAAAACATCTCACAAAGAGGCCTTCATCACTCCGGAGCACTCCTCTCGCTGCTGCACTTCCATGACTGAGCATCACTGATCCATCCATGTTTAAACAAGCCCACCCCTAGGTCGGGGCTTGCCAGCCAATCATCCTAGTCTCCCGCTCGGCTCTCCCTACTGTAACCTGCCCAATATTAGTGAGGTTGGTATCAACTTGAGCTGTCAAGTAGCGCACCCTTTGAGCCATGTGAGCTGCTGGTATTAACTCTTCCTCAAATACCCACCAATTCTTGTTCTTCAATAATTGCCAGCACAAAGTAGCAAACAATGGTGGGTATATTACCTTGCCATGACCGGCCAAATAGTGTAGAACCCACTTTTGCAAATCAGGTTTAAAAAACGCTCCATCAGGCTTGCCCAGAAGTCACTCTGACCAGGCAGCCCTGGCGTATGGGCAGTCTCTGATAATATGAAGAATCGTTTCTGGACCTCCTCCACAGATTTGACACGCATCCATTAAAGCGAGGTGCCGTCTGCATCTTTCGACATTCGTGAGGAGGCGCTGATGCATGGCTAACTCAAAGAACGTTCGTGTTCTTTGGATCCCTTCAACCTGCCATGCTATCTTCCAAATGGGGTGCTCATGATGATCGTCTTCCCTTCTCGTTAATTCATAAGAGGTCTTCATCGTAAACCGCCCCGAAGAGGAGAGCCTCCACATCCTGCTCGGTGCCTTGCGGGACTGGGTGTAGCAAGAGTTATTGCACCATATCCTCAGGGAGGAACGCACGAGCAAAGGCCTCATTCCAGCTACCATTAAAGACTAGTCTCCATGCAATCTTAATCATAAAAGCTTCATTCATTCCCATTGAATCGCAAACTCCTAAGCCCCCCTCTTCCTTCGGCTTGCACATAGTATCCCAATCCACCAAGTGAATTTTCCTTCCCAGATCTGAGCTTCCCTAGATAAAGCCTCTTATCTTCTTGTCAACCTATTCTCGAACCGAGGCCTGCATAAATGCCGTCTGCATCTTGTATGCTTGAAGTGACGATAAGACGGATTGTGCAAGTGTAATCTGATCAGCCAGAGATAGCGATTTAATTCGCCACCCCACAAGCCTAGCATCGATGCGATCAATGAGTTCAGTGTACGTGGCCTTGGTAACGCGATCATCGATCACGGGGACCCCCAGATAACGACCGAAGTTCTTTGTTTCTGGTATTGTCTAGAGTTGCACTTAACCTCGCAGCATCCGCCGCTATAACGTTTTGGGAGAAGAAGACTCGCGAATTCGGCCGGCTAACTTGTTGACCAGAGGCAGCTCCAAACTCTCGAAGGCATTGAGAGATCACTTGAACCTGCTCCATAGAGGACACACCAAAAAAGATTAGATCATCAGCAAAGAACAAGTGTGACAGCAGTGGTCCCCTCTGCGATAATTGGATTGGCTTCCAATCTTCTCTTGCTACTGTGGCCTCGACCAGTTTACCAAGACGCTCCATGCACAACGTAAAGATTTACGGGGAAAGAGGGCAGCCTTGTCGTAGACCCCTCGATGGCCTAAACTCCTCTGTTAGCCCACCATTCCATTGAATCTGCATGCTAGCGGTAGTGATGCAGCTCATTGTTAGCTCGATGAATTCCTGGGGGACTTTCGCAGCAACCAGAGTATCACGAACGAAGATCCACTGGATACGATCGTATGCTTTTGCCAAGTCAATTTTTAGAGTCATCCACCCGAATCTTCCCGTCTTAGCTCTCATCGAATGAACAACTTCTTGCAAAATACAAATATTGTCAGTAATTTGCCGCCCGTGGACGAAACTCGTCTGGGTCTCATGCACCAGCTGGGTCATAAGCGGCTTCATATTCTCAGCTAAACATTTGTGATCGCCTTGTAAGCCACGTTGTAGAGACTAATCGGTCGGTACTGCTCGATAGTTGTCGGTCGTGGAATCTTCGGGATCAGAGCTACAATAGTGGCATTAACTTCCTTGAGTCGCTCTGGTTCCCTCCAGCAACCTTGCACAAACTCCACAACTGCCTGACAGACTATGTCCCAACATCGTTGGTAGAACAAAGGCTGGAGGCCATCTTTACCCGGCGCTTTAAGTGCCCCCATAGACCTGATCGCTGGATACACCTCCTCCTCCTCAGGAAATTGTTTTTGTACAGGCAGCCACAAGGCACTAGGAACTTCTCAGAACACTGCGGGTAGGTTAGCAAGCGGTCCTCCCTCCCGAGATCACCCACTCTTATCTCGACTTCTGAGCCCATATGAGCTCCTCTTGTAATAGAATGACTTCAAGCTCTTCCCTAGCTTGCTGCAATGCGGCAGGCTCCATCCCTCCCGTAACCCGCATTTCTAGTCGTTCGATGAGAGCAAGTAGGAGGTTCTTCTTTCTCAATATATTCGCAAAGGTGTAAAGATTCTAACGCTGTGCTTCTTTAGCGAACTCAGTAATAGCACTGCAAAGATCGACCCCTCGAGCCCAGGCAGCGGCCGCCATGTCATTGAAACCTTCGCGTGTAAGCCAGGCAACTAGGAATTTGAACGGCTTTGGCCCCGGGGCTCTGAAATTTGGATTTAAGGTGATCAGAATGGGGCGGTGATCGCTTTTCACCTTCGGGATGTGTCGAACAACAGTATCAGGGAACACTCCAGACCAAGTAGAGTTGGCGAGTCCTTTATCTAGCCTCTCCTTTATACTCCCACTAAACCAATTCTATGGCGGCCCTATAAAGCCCAAATCCACTAAGCCAGCATCCAGCACACGTTCCTGAAACTCACGAGCTCCAGACGCGTTGAAAGGAGCACCACCCAATTTATCCACAGGCTGGAGGATGGAGTTAAAATCCCCCACTAGTAACCACGGTTCCACCATATCCTCCGCCAACACTCTAATTGCCTGCCATAATTCTCTTCTTTGTATCAGAGCTGGATTGGCGTACACAGCTGGATTAAAACGCAACTTTTACTCTCCGACACCGCTTTAACATGGAGAAATTGACTGGAGCGGTCAATTTCATCGATAGTAATCAGGTTCGAGTCCCACGCTACCCAGATGCCCCCCGCATAGCCAGCCGCATCAACAACAAGATATTTATCAGAACCAAGACTTTGGACCACTTTCTCGGCTTTTCCCCCCTAATCCTCGGCTCAACTATGACAGTAATACACGGTCGATACTTCCTACGATATTCCCTGAAGACTCGTAGAAATTGCTTGCTTCCCGCCCCCTACAGTTCCATGAGAATATGCTTAGCATCATTAAAAAATGGGAGGTGATAGCATGACACAAAGTAATTACACATGGTTTTGGGGGGCCTTGGGTCCAAGACCATCCCCCACAAACTCGTTTGAAAGCTCCATCGGTTTCCCCCCTATAGACACATCACCGCTTCCAAAACTCCCCGTATCTTTAGGTGCTAGGTCAGGCTAACTCCTTTCTCTGGGGATAAATTGCGCTTCGATATCATCCATCCCCGTAAATTTTCTCAGGCTCCTTATTCGCCATCGGTTCACTGGGGTTTGGGGGGTCTGGGATCACATTTTCTGGTGGTGCTGAACAAGAACACCTAGCGCGCTCGAAATGAGAGCCACATTTCAGACAAATCTTCTGCAGTCCTTCATACTGTATGAAATACTTGATACCACGGATAGTAAACTGGGACGGGAGTGGCTTTGTAATATCCACTTTGACACACACTCATGCATAATCACTCCTAACTCCCGTACTTGTCGCATGATCCACCCAAATAGGCTTCCCAATGCGTTTCCCGATCTTCATCACTGCAACCGGGTGAAAGTACTGAATCGGCATCTCTAACAAACGGCCCATACAAGCGTAGATGTAATCTCGTGATTGTACGGGTTGAAATCACTGGTCCAGGGGTGAATAGTAAGGTAGTTGTCGCCCACCATCCAAGGTCCTCCCATCACTGCCCTATCATAATCGATACCACTCGTAAACCGCACAAGGAAATACCCACTCTTGGCTGAGGTAACTTGTATCATCCCAACTTTAGCCCATAGGCCAGTTAGCCGCTAAAGATAATCGTATAGGATACGGAACGACCTAGAACTTTGACCACAAGGGCCGACCGCCATTCTCGACAGAACATGCGCTCTTCTGCCGATGTGAAGTCTATCGGTGGACACTTCTGACAACTTCACCCTCATAGCCCGTGTCTCTCCCTTCCTGACGTATTGCTTCAGCGACATCCTCCGGGTCCGAGTCTGCAATATACCACATCCAAGTGTTCATCGAAGTTCCAAATAGCCGGCGCGCCGCACCCGCACTTGAACCCCAGACACACTGTCGTTGTCTCGCTGGTGGCGGAGTGCGCTGCTCTTCACTCATAGTATCATCAATGACATCGTCCTCGACTACGATATTTTCCGTCGTAGCTGCTGTTTGCTTAGCACGTTTCTTGGATAGCTGTGATTCCCGATCTCCTTTAGGGTTTGGTGAGGAGAGGACTCCGTAGGAGGCCTACGTTGACTTGCCACACTCTTTAGCTGTTCAAGAGGTGCTGGACCATCCCTGTGTAGCGGCGGATTCACCGCCTGCATAACGTCGGGAAACCCTAGCCGCTCCAGCAAGGTATTGTCTTCTCACCGCTCCGGATTTTTAGGAGAAGTAGGAAAACTTTTACTTCCCTGACTTCTTCGCCTAGACTGGTAGTACCTACCTAGGATTTAGCATGTACGGGATAAAAATGACCTTTTAAATTAATATGTAGTTATGTAAGAGATGGGTAAATAGTTATGTTAAGATTATTAATTAATTACCTTGTAAAGTATATATTTGTGGATTAAAACGAGAAATGGATCTTACTAGCATGCATTATTTGAGTGTATATATATATCCATAGTTAGTAATAATAAAGGTAGTTCGTGAAGAAATTAAATCTAGGTTGCATACGAGGATGAGTGCGTAATCTTTTTAGTTAATTGAAGTAGGGCGATGAATTAATTGTGGTTTTTTGCGTATATGTAAAGGAGAACTAAATGGCTAATGATGGATGTAGTACGAGTTCTTCAAGTTTTAACCGGAGGGATGGTTAATATTGAGGGGACGATTTTAGTACGTATATAAATATATTGGTCATCATATATCAAGTATCGAAATCCAACTCGACGATCTTACGGGAATTTTTTAGAGATTCGGTAAGGGAATTGGTCATCTCGCCAAAGGAAAAACGAATTGTGTTGGAGGTCTGTCTCAGTCATTTTGATTAAGGAAATAAAGTGAGTGTAAAGGGGTAAAATCTACACATTAAATAGTTTAAAGTATTTACCTAACGGTATTTAAATTTGAGATTTGCTACTATGTGTCATATTTGCTTATGTATGTTTACGTGATGCATGATATTATGTGTAAATTATGTTTTAAGTTATACATTTGATTGCCTGTATTTAATTACCAGTAAGTTACAGTTAAGAAGTAAGTTGCTTTCAAGGAGTATTTCACCTTCAAGGAAGGTGAAAAGTTTTAAGAGTTTCTCGTCGCTTGCGCCAGTCAGTTGCCCATATGAGATTTTGAGATGAGCAGCAGTTATGCTTTTGAGAATTTTTAAGATGAGTAGCAGTTATGCTCTTGAGAATCATGGTTAAGAGCCACTACGATAAGTTTAAGATGTTAGGGGGGATTATCGTCACGACTCCCCGAACTAAGTTTAAGTTTGTGGAAGCCTAGATGGGCATTAATACGAATGAGTTGGGCAACTAGACTAGCTGTTGGGGATGCCCGTGTCAGTCAAGAATTTAAGTCAAAATTTGAGTTTTAAGAATGTAGAGTAACATTCCCCATCCAATCGGCATTCTCAACCCGTTCCCGCGTGCGCTTCACCCGCGTCGGTGCCGAATCGTCGTCCTCCTGTTTCCTGCCAATGCCGCTGTTCAAACTTGCAGAACCTGGGAGATCCGAATTTGATTTGGGCAAATCTTCTTCTGGAACCGCCAGTTGCAATTGAAGCATCCTAAAGTTTCTTGGGGCCTGACCCAATGATTCCACGTCAACCGATTCGTTCGATTCATCGCCAACTCTCCCTACCCATTCAGGCCTATCTTGCTCGTGCTTGCGTTCCAACAGGGGGGTTGGTGCTCGAATGGGGTCCTGCAAAACAGAAAGATTTGGCTCCAATGGATCAAGGGGAAAGCTTCCCTGGGTATGGGTGAACGCGTCAGGCGCCTTGGTCTGGTTCGGAGTGTTCCTAGGAGGCCCAACCAATAATACCTCTCTCCTGCCCTGCCTAACCGTCGACGAAAAACAGGGGCGCTGCAGGAAGCTCGTGTTTCGGATCTTCTCCCGCCTCAAGGTCGTCAGCATGAATCGACCCGTGACTAAACCCGCCCTGGCCTTGCCATCTCGAGTCTCCTCAACACTCTTAGCCCGATTTGCGGGCAGTTTCAGTTGATCGCCTCAAACTTCTGATGGAGACATAGGTTTCAGCACAAAGTTCTTCTCACAGAACTTGAATTTATGAAAATTCGTGCCGCCGTCGTGGGTTACTGCTCTTTCGAATTGCCAAGGCCTCCCTAGCAAGATATGGGCAGCTTGCATCAACACAACATCGAACAACAACTTATCCTTGTAGTTACCGATTTCAAACGCGACGCGGGCTTGCTTTGTCACCTTTATCGATCCGTAATCGTTAAGCCAATGCAAATTGTAAGGCTCTGGATGTTTGTTTGTGGCCAACCCCAACTGTTTGATGGCGTCGTGGCTAATGACATTCGTGCAACTGCCTCCGTCGATGACCATCGACAAACACTTACCACTGACCAAACATCTCGTGTGAAAGAGGTTGGTTCGTTGGCCTTCATCTGCCTCAAGTTCCAGAGCCAAGGCTCGAAGATTCA